GGGGAGTGTGGAGTGGAGACCCAAAGCCCATCTGTAGGCAACTGGACATCCCCTTACAGAAGGGTCTTGGGGAGGAGACGAGCCAGTCAGGGTGTAGTGTAGCACCGATGAAATATACAACTTTCCTCTAGTTCCTAAATGCTTCCTCTCCCCACCATCATGATCCCAGTTCTACCTCACAAATCTGGCTAGACCAGAGGATGTACACTGGTTTAGATAAGAACTGGAATCACAGGGAATCCAGGACAGATAAACCCCTCGGGACCAATAATGAGAGTAACAGAGGGGAAGGGGAAGGTGGGGGAGACAAGTGGAACTGATCACAAGGATCTACATATAAACCCCTCCCTGGGGGAGGGACTACAGAAAAGTGGGTGAAGGGAGACATTGGTCAGTTAAGACATGACAAAATAATAATAATCTATAAATTATCAAGGGTTCATTTGGGAGGTGGGGTGGGAAGGGAGGGGGAAAATGAGGAACTGATACCAAGGGCTCAAATAGAAAGAAAATGTTTTGAGAATGATGAGGGCAACAAATGTACAAATGTGCTTGACACAACAGATGGATGTATGGATTGTGTGTGATAAGAGTTGTACGAACCCCCAATAAAATGATTTTTAAAAAGCAAGAAAGGTGGGAGGTTTGAATCCACCAACTTGGACGTCTGACTTCCAGACAGATATGAAATCTGCATCACACATTAAGTTGTTAACTGCAAGGCCTGCAGTTCGAAACCACCAGCCACTCCATGGGAAAAGCACAACATTTTCAACTCCTGTAAAAAGTTACAGTCTTGGACACCCACGGGGGCAGTTCTACCCCGACCCACAGGGTCACTATGAGTTGGAATCAACTTGATAGCAGTGAGTTTGAGTTTGGGTTTTATGGCATATTGTTAATGTTAAGATAATAAAAATTAGTGTTTTAATAAGTCGCTAAGTTTGCAGTGATTTGTTGTCGCAGCAATTGAAAACGTATACAGCTTCTGGGCATTTTAGAGCTCCTGGAGACTTCCGTGAAACTCTAGCACTGGATTGAAGCAGACTGTTCCCAGGCAGAACCATATGACCTGGAGCTGAGGCTGAGGAGTAAAGACTGAGTTCTTGTCGGAGACACTGGAGCCTTTAGTGACCTGTGGGCACACTGCCTTTTGTGTTTCTCTAAGATTAACAAGGTACTCCTGGACCAGGCCAGGCAGCGTGTAATGCCGAGTATGTGGTATGTTATATGTAATAACTATATATTACATACAGTATGGAATAACTTATATATGTAATGCTGAGCCAGGAAAGAGCAGGACGCTTCCAGAAGGGCAGTTTACCCTCATGCGTAACTCTGCACCTCTTGGTTCAGAAATTTGCACCTCCAACTGCCTTCAGAAATTCCTTTGTTCCCTCTGCTGTGTGCCTGAAATGAGTTGATTCCTTTCTGTGTCCATTAGAAAAATTCCCTCTGCCATCCAGTAGAAGTCAGCTCATAGTGACCTCACAGGACAGGCTAGGAGTTCCCCCGTGAGTTTCTAGGACTGGAATTCTATGAGAGTAGGAAGCCCCATCTTTCTTGAGTGGAGAGGCTGACGGTTTCAAACTACTGCCCTTGTGGATCACAGCCCAACTCGCAACCACTACACCAGCCGTTCTACGCTATCCAATGGGGGCAGAAGAGTCGGAATTGATTCAATGTCAGTGAGCTTTTTAGTTTCTTGATTCATCCAAGCAGCAGTCACATCTGCCACGTATTGGTTAATACACTGGAGGAGCCGTCGATAGGTCATTTGGTTTGACGGGAGGTAGTCAGAGGTCTCAGACTTATTGGGCATGACCTTTAGGAATAGAGATTTCAAATGCACATTTTCTTCCAGTTTGATTAAAGCTGTCTTTAGTAATCTTTCTAACTGTCCTGTTTGCTACTTCCTTGTGGCAAAATATCACTTCTTTAATAGATTGGCAGTACTACAAATTTATGTGTCCTAAAGTTAGGCCAATTACCATGGTGTAAATACTCCCACCATGACCGATTTCAGGCTACAAATGTGCTGCTGATAAACACAAAGTAGGGAAGATATGCACAGAGTCATTTCTTGTGAGCTAATAAGAGTTGATGCCAACTCAGGGCTACTTGTGTCACCCTAACACCTTCTACTGGGGAGGAGATACCGCAACAGAAGCATGGGTAGAAGAATGCTGAACGATTAATAGCCGTGGATACTCTTAGAGCACTTATAAGGAGCCAGGCACTGTTCTAAGGGCTTTTTATTTAAGAAGTTTAATCCTTCCAGCCTTTGACGTAGGTAAAAGTGAGGAAACCGAGGCTGCATGAAATGACCACACAGCTAATAATGAGAAAAGCAGGGATATGAACTGAACCGTTAGCTCAGTGCCGGGATCTTTCAAAGTAAACGAAAATGATTCTCTAAAACCACACTGTCCAAACACAGAAGCCACTAGTCACATTGGTATTTGAATGGAAACTAAATAAAATGTAAACTTCAGTTCCTCAGTTACAGTAGCCACACCTCAAGTGCCCAATAATCAATCACGTTTCTAGTGACTTCTTTATTGGGCAGCAAAGAGAAAAAGCATTTCCATCACCACAGAAGGCTCTATTAGACAGCATTGCTCTTGAAAAAATATCTCAGAAAGAAAGAAGCCACACCCATTTGCTTGAAAACAGGAGATTTAATTTGTTGACTTTGATAACTTACAAACTCCAAATCCACAGCTTTGTGCCCCTTTTGCTCTCAGCTATGCACTCATTCATTCTTCCATTCAACACCCCCTTGTCGAGCACCACTGTGTTTTGGAGTCTGTGCCAGGTGCAAGGCAGAGATAGCTGAATCCAGTGGCACAGTCCCCGCCCTCCAGAAACGCAGTCTGAAGGAGGAGGTAGATGGTACAAAGGCCATTCTAACATTGAGAAGAGTGTTATGACGGGGGATTTCAGGATGACATGAGAGACTCAGAGAGGGCAGCCAGCTCTCTCTCGGGCACTCAGAGGAAGATTCAAGGAAGAGGTGAATCCTAAACTGGGGGTGATGGGCAAATAAGAACTGGTTAGCTATCAAGAAAGTTTCAAAATTCAAAAGAGAGTCTGGAGCGTATGGTTCAGGGACCAAGTGTGACTGGGCTGCACTGGAGCAGAAACAGCAGCAGGAACACAGGGGACACGTAAGGCAGGAGAATTCACGTGTCCCACCACAGCGCGCTTGTCTGATGTGTTCAGGAGGAAACAGATTGGGGGGAGGGAACAAGAACAGAGAAAGGGTTTCCTCTTGGACCTGCTGAGTTTGCTCTGCCTGCAAAAGGTGTGTGTGTGTGTGTGTGTGTGTGTGTGTGTGTGTGTGTGTGTGTAGCGCTCCAGAGCGAGGCTGGGTAGGTACTGGTTTTACCATCACCCATCTCCAGTGCTCATTCAGCCAAGGACTTGACTGAGCTCATTCTTCCAGGGAGTGCGTGTAGAGAGGGGTGAGAACAAAGCCAACCTTGGGAAATACCAGCAGATCTAGGCAGGCAGAGAAACAGAGCTAGTGAGCCACGTCACAGAAGATGCCATCTTCTCCAGGACCCCCTCCCCGCACTGCATGTGCCCAGTGGACACACACCCTCCTCTCTCCAAGCAGTTCACTACCACATTCTGCTGTGCTTGCCTTTGCTGGTGATATTTTGCCTCCCCAGATAACATTTGGAGCTCTTTCATCTTCAGGGTCCAGCACACAATAAAAATGCCCAGCCTGGGAGCCAGAGGAGGGTAGAGTTCAAGTCATTTGAACGGAGTTAAATTGAGCCAAAATAACACGGGGGGTACACAGAGCCGTATGTTCCCACAGCAACACGGTTGAACACTACCCCCAGGTTCCTCACCTACAGTCTCTGCAGAGACTGCTGCCTCCAGAGTCTCTCCCCAGTTCTCCAGCCACGTCACCTCTCCCCTACAAGACAAGTGTCACTATTTCTTATGGAACAGGGCTGGGGCCGGCTCTTTGCTGGGCTCAGCCATGACCTGCATGGGCTGGTTGGTCAGGGCAGCCTCGCGCATCTTGTGGTACATGAACTCATTCTGGCGGAACATGCGCAGCTCCATCTCAGTCTGCACCCGCATGGCCTGTGGGGGACATAGACACAAGAACACTGGTGACAAGCCCCCTGGACATGACCTCCCTTCACCTTTTTTAAAAGAAAGACACTAACGTAAATGGTTCCCAGTCACCCAGTTTCAGTTTAACTGTTCTCCCTCAAAGGACACACACACACACACACACACACACACACACACACTCTCACTATCTATTGCGCATGCGTGAGAAGTCAGGGGACCCCCAAGGGTGGCTTGAGGAACTGTTCTCAGCAGAGATTATGTGTTCTCAGGAACTAGAAGTTCTCAAGTGTGAACTTGGGTCTGAACCCTGTCTCCCACCTGTACATGTTGGGGGACATGAGGAAAGCGGGTTAATCGCTTCAGCCCTCATTGTTCTCGTCTGTGAAACAGCTGAGAGTCCTTTGTGCCTTACAGAGGTGGGGAAGAACCCCGTGAGGGACACACGGGAACCCCTCATTCTCGTACGCCACTCCACAAAGACAAGGGCCCTTCAAACGTGCATGGGATTTTCCCATTATGTTTTAACCCCATTTTGTAATGAACGTTTGTAGCAGCTCATAGTTGTCAAGAGTCAGGCACCCTCAAGGGCTGGAGACAAAGCAGTGAGCTCGCTCGGCAGCGTCTGTGCCCTGGATGAAGGCAGCGTGGCCGACCTGGCTGGGGGAGGCTCCCCACTTTTCTGCCCTCCCTTTGGCTCTCTCAACCATTTTGAGGAGCTAGTATATTCCTCCCACTTTACAGGGAAGGAGAGGAAACTGAGGACCAGAAAAGTCCTCTCCTTTATTTTATTGGATTTTAATTGAACTTAAAACCCAACTTATTGAGGAGAAGTCTGAGGCCCAGAGCATCCAAGGTCACACATCGTGAAAGAATTGAAGCTGGACGTGAATCTAGGTGATCGATCCCAGAGGCAGGGCTCTCGCACTCAACTCTACACCGCTGGACACTTTGCAGTGTGAATGGTGGCACACACATACGCTCACACACACCACTGTCTCTAGACACTCTCAGTCCAGGCGTGTGGTGTCATGGTACAACAAGACTCAGGGTTCAAGCTTCAGCTGTTTGCCATCCCCCCACTAGATAAGAATGGGCAAAGACTCCCCTTCTCTGAGTCTCAGCTACCTCATATGCAAAACTAAGAGAAAAGAACAAACCAAAAGGAAGTAACTACGAAACTTCTGAATGCCTTCTTATTAGACCGGCAACCTGGGGGGTTTCCTCAAGTGGAGTACACCTCCCCAGAGAGCCTGGTTCAGATCACGAGCCCATATTCAAGATGCTACTTGCCTCTAAGTCCTTCGTGATTGGGTGGGAAGGCCCGTGGGTCACCAAGAGAATGGCATAGGCTTTGCATATCATCCCATGCCCCACCTCGATGTTCCCAGCATGCCAGTTGGTCAGCCCTGCCCGCATCACGGCCATGCCCAGCTGAGCATTGTTGGGGTGGTAGAGCTTCCTGTGGGAATATATGGAATAATCACAGGGCAATCCCAATGGCCCCTCTGTCTGCATATCATTTGACAGTTTAGAAATGCCATCATTGATGAAGTCCTGCTGCTCCCACCAGCCCTGGGAGGCAGCTGCATCCTGACCATGAGCGCACTACTTCTTTAGAGTATATAGAAAACACAGGCATTTCCCATGTTGCTTGCTAAGACAGAACCCCTTTCCAAATATTAAAAATCCAGCTGGACTTAGCCTTAAGAAAATTAAGTTGCTGTTCCAGTGACAGGAAGGCTGGGGGACCCAGGGGGATCAGGGTTGACAGCTAGGTTTCATCTCTGCACCAACTCTGATTGTCTGGTCATTGCTACCTGGGAGCACCGTGGTCAAAAACGCTCACTGGTTAAGTGAACCACCATCAATTGTGGATGCCTGCTGTGGGCGCAGGAGGGAGGGGTGGCAACATGTGTGGCATCTGTTTGCCATCCCCGGAACAGACACACTTCAATGAGGCTTGTCTGGGCCCCAGGATCGTCACGTACATATAGCCATCGACCATCCTCCGGGCATAGTCAGCAGCCTCTTCAAAGGCCTGGAGGTAAGACAGGACCTCAGACACAATGCTCAGCAGGCGCAGCGTGTAGAGGTTGGTGTCTGCGAACACCGCCTCCTGCTTCTGCAGGCACTCCCGGCATAACTTCACCACCTAGAGGGAGACACAGGCCCCAGAACGCATACTTAATCCACAGGGTCACGCACCATGGCATTGAGCACTCTTTCTTTTCTGGTGCCAGAAGTTGCTGGAAGAGATGGGAGAGCAATAATGGGCCTAGTTGGCTAAGGAATAGAAAGGGGAAGGAGAAAAGCGAGAGAGAAGCAGAGCAAGGAGTTTTCACACAATTCAACAGGAGCAGGGAGCTTACACACACACACACACACACACACTCATGCACACGTGGGTAAGTCAAAAAGTAGCATTATAAAATCATAGAAACCTTTATACAACAAAAATACCAAAATAGGAAGTCATGATGTCTCAACATATCCACTACCTAAGTCTATACACTTAGAAGGCAGTTTTTCTCTCTCTTTAACTCTTCCCCAAAGAATCACCACTCTTCTATTCACACCACCTCAAACAGCAGTTTGGGCATCCTCGTGGGACTCAACCCTTATTCCTTTTTAATATCTGTGGGAGTCTGCACGTCCCTCAGCCCATGGCCTGTGCCGTCTGCTGTCTTTAAGCTTCCCATTCCCGGATGTTCCCTGGCCTATTGTTCTGCCTGAGTTTGGACTTTGTGATGATTGGTGCTCGATGGCAGGCAGCACCATGCTCATTGGACACCTCCGCCAGGCATCCAAGTGCCCTCATTTGCATGTGGACCGTCCAAGTGCACCTCATTTGCATGCGGACCTGTTTGAGGACTGATGCCTGCCATTTCTTCCATATTTGGTAGCTGCGTGATTATTGGATACTACCCGTTACACTTTATTAGCATAGGACATAATGTTACCCGCCCACCATTGGGTATTTAAGCCTCTGCCTTCTGCTCAATAAACAAGGCTTGATCAGACTCCTGTCTTGCCTCCATTTCTCGCGTCTCTTGCCCCTCTTCATTCCCAGTCCCTTTTTCAGGTATCCATGTTGTTTGATGACCTGTGGGACGGGTCAAATATCCCTGAGTATGATGAACAGCCAGAGGTCTGAAGGGACGAGATCAGAGCTGTAGGGCAGATGGGACAAGGTTTCTCAGTGAGTCTCACTGGAGAGCCCTTGCTATCCTTGCAGAATGAGCAGGTGCATTGTCATCCTGGGGGTAAAAAATCCTTGGCATAATTGTTCTGACCGTCATCTCACCAATGCAAAGAAAAACTTTCAATTTTCTTGAACCCTCTTCATAATAAGTCTCCAGGATTGTCCTGTGACCTTTGGAAAAAATAATCTATCAAGAGTACACCTTTGGACTCCCTAAAAACACTCACCCAAACCTTCTGAGCTAGCCTATCTGCCTTGAATTTAACTGGCCCAGCAGACCCTCTCTGGTGCCTCTGTCCTAATTGTCCTCTATTAAAAAACACCCTAATGACACAAGGCCAGTTTGTTCCTGAGAGAATTTATCTTTCCGTGGCCATCTGCTAATATAAGCATCCTGTTTAAACATGTTTCGTACTCTTTTACATATATATTCATAGAAACCCTGCAGGACAGAGCAAAGCTGTGCCATAGGATTTCCAAAGCTATAAATCTTTTTTTTAAATCATTTTATTAGGGGCACATACAACTCATCACAATATATACATACATCAAGTGTGTAAAGCACATTTGTGCATTCATTGCCCTCATCATTCTCAAAACATTTGCTCTCCACTTAAGCCCCTGGCATCAGCTCCTCATTTCCCCCCTCCCTCCCACACTCCCCTCCCTCATGAACCCTTGATAATTTATAAATTATTATTTTGTCATATCTTGCATTTTCTGATGTCTCCCTTCACCCACTTTTCTGTTGTCCATCCCCCAGGGAGGAGGTCACATGTAGATCCTTGTAATCGGTTCCCCCTTTCCAACCCACCTTCCCTCCACCCTCCCAGTATCGCCACTCTCACCATTGGTCCTGAAGGGATCATCTACCCTGGATTCCCTGTGTCTCCAGTTCCTATCTGTACCGTGTACATTCTCTGGTCTAGCCAGATTTGCAAGGTAGAATTGGGATCATGATAGTCAAGGCGTAGGAAGCATTTAGGAACTAGAGGAAAGTTGTATGCTTCATCATTGCTACACTGTACCCTGACTGGCTCTTCCCTTCCCACGACCCTTCCATAAGGGAATGTCCAATTGCCTACAGATGGGCTTTGGGTCTCCACTCCACACTCCCCTCATTCACAATGATTTTGTTTTTTGTTCTTTAATGCCTGATACCGGATCCCTTCAACACCTCATGATCACACAGGCTGGTGTGCTTCTTCCATGTGGGCTTTGTTACTCCTGAGCTATAAATCTTTATGGAAGCAGACTACCATAGAGGGGTTGATCGATTTGAAGGACCAACCTTCCAGTTAGAAGGTAAGTTTTTAATCACGGTGCCACTAGGGCGCGCGCGCGCGCGCGCGCGCGCGTGTGTGTGTGTGTGTGTGTGTGTGTGTGTTACTACCTTGTTCTCTGTTGTGGGAACAAGCAAATATAGATATGTGGAAAGTAGGTATGCATAACATCCCATCTTACCAGATACGGAAACTGAAGCACAGAGAGGGTTAGTACTTTGCCACAGGCACACATGTAAGGAGAACAATTGTGAGGCTCAAACTAAGTTCTTCACAGCCCTTCCAGTGTTGGGCAACCTTGGCTGCACGTTGAAACCATCTAGAGAGCTTTTAAACACATTGATGTCTGGGTCCGACTCTCTGCCAATTGAAACCAAATATCTGGGGGAGAGCCCCTTGTAAGCACTTGGGTTCCTAGGTAGATTGAGGTTGGGCAATCTGCCCTGCTGGAAGTGTACCAAAATGCATCAGCAGACAGAGAAGCTCCCAGAAGCCTAGGAGACCAGAGAAGAGGCAGCTACCTTGACCTTGGTGAGAAATAAGGTAAGACTATGACACTGGTTTGCAGCTCTGTGTTTACTGTGGGTCCCAGGTTGGCCTGCACAGTGAGTTAACCCAAAAGCATTGAAAGTACTGCTGCTTGGCTCTCATCCTCAGAGATTCTGGTCCATTGTTCTGAGTACCAAGAGTTTTAAAAGGTAACTCCTGTGTTGAGTATCCCAGGAGCTTTTAGTGCTAGGGTTGAATGTTCAGATGTTGGAGACTGGAAATTGTAGCCAGAACATTCATCCAATGATGGGAAAACATGCAACCCCTCCTGTTCTCCCTGCTGTCTCCATTCTGCCGTCCCTGACGCCAAGCTGAGATGTGACAGATTGGGGGGGGGGGGCATTTGTCAGGCCCAGTTTCAGCAGGTTAAAGAGTCACTGAGAGTATACCCCTGAGGGCTGACTCCAAGGGTCAGAAGAGCTGTAGTCTCAACCAAAGGTTGTATTTAGATAAAGGACCTGTCTGGCAGCCTCTTCATCCTCATCTCATTTACTTCCCTTGCACGGAGAGTCTTCCCAACCTCCTCCCCCACCCCACACCCTGTTTTTAAAAAGAAGCCTGCTTACCTCATGGTACAAACCCTCTGAGCGAGCTTTGTCAATGTTGTCCATGGTCTCCTTGGAGAACTGGATCATCTCCTTCACCACTTCCTGAGAAGGCTGAAAAGGAGAGGGAAGGACATTGAGTGGAAGACCCCCTAAAGACACTACCCCCTCCATTTTTAATAGCTGCCATCTTTGAAATTCGATGTGGTGTAATATTAATGCCTATCTCCATCTGAATGTTCATTTATGCAAATACTGTGTAAAAGCTCCATAGCTTTTCCCCCTCCCTCATTATACTACTGACTCATGTTGTGGTCTCTATACACCAAGCCCCAGAGCCATGCTGCTGGCCAGGTATCCCTGCCCCTGTGGTGCACGGGCTTAGGCTTTTAGACCCCAGTGCAAAACTGATGCTGACTCCTGTTGTCTTCTCTGGTATCTTGGATGTCTGAGGCTGTTGCCCACAATATTTGCCATTCTTCTTTCTTGCTTCAGTCAATCACACATCCCAATGGTATGCCCCAGCATTCGTTTTCCCTTCATCCAAGTCATTGATTGAAATACTGGCCAGCACAAGATGAAGACAGAGGCTGAGGGCTTGACTCCAAAACCCTTTCCAGTTGCAACTAGAGTTCGTGAAAGGAGGCCCATGGGGTTCTGATCATTTCAGCCCTTGCAAAGGGCTTAGCATCCAACTCAGATTGCCATCTTGCCCAGAAGGATATCAAGAGAGAACTAGTCAAACGTCTCTGTAAAATCTTGACTTATTGCATGTACTTAAGCAGTCTAGTGGTCCTATCTTAAATAAAACTGAGGTTATAATCTTTATAACAAGAAGTCCCATGATTAAGTAGCCGGTCCCCCTGAGAGCATCATTATTCCCAGGAGAAAGTGCATTATTCCCAGGAGAAAGTTTCTCAAAGTCCAAAAAAGACATTTGCTTGCTATGTTTATTCATATAAAAATCTCTTTTCTGATGGGGAACCAACTACAATAATTGACATATAACCCCAGCCCCTGAGGAACAAACAACAGAAATGTGGGCAAAGGGAGACAGTAGATGGTGTAATATATGAAAATAATAACATAATTTATCAGGGGATGGTGTAAAATATGAAAATAAAAATAATTTATAAATTATCAAAGGTTTGTGAGGGTAGAAGGGGGAGGGAGGAGAAATAGAGTTGCTAATATGAAGGGCTCAAGCATAAAGAATGTTTTTAAAATGATGATGGCAAGCTATATACAAATGAGTTTGATACAACTGATGTATGGATTGTTATAAGAGCTGTAAGAGTCACTAATAAAATGATTTATTAATTTAAAAAATCTTTTTCAGAAACTAATTTGATTGACTTTTTTGTTCAATTTGAAAAGAATGTTTTCATATTCTAACTAAAATTTGCAAACAAGTTGTAGAAAAAGTTAAGATGAAATTAAAACTGTGGTGAAAAATTAGTACTCCTCAAAACCCCAGCCCACTCACCCAAAGATGGCTACAGCTAGCATTTTGAGAAACATTTTCCTACACATATGTACTGGTGTAGTGGTTACATATTAGACTTCTAACTGCAAGGTTAGAAGTTCAAAACCACCAGCTGCTCTGGGGGAAAAAAAACAAACTTTCTACTCCTTTAAACAGTAGTCTTGGAAACCCACAAGGGCAGTTCAACCCTGTCTTAAAGGGTCACTATGAGTTGGAAACAATTGGATGGCAGTGAGTTTGTTTGTCTTTATTTTGAAGTACTAGACAAGCACTGATCAATCCGAATAGACATTGGTCATCAAAAACAAGTATGTCAATCTGAACTTGTGAATGTGTATATAGATAAAATAAAATGTGTATATAGATAAAAAAAATTTTCTAACTAGAATAATATCATGCTTGTCTTAATTAATGACTTAATGCTGTTGTAAAACTTTAAATAACAGGAATTTATTTTCACAAAGTCCAAAAGGCTATAGACAGAGTTATTGTTATGAATTGATTTGCATTTCCCCAAAATATGTGTAGAAATGCCAGCCTCTGTACTCTGGAAATAGAAGATTTCTTTTGTTATGTTAATGAGCTGGTAGCAAAGTAGGATGGGCTATAAACGTAATCACTTCTGAGGTATAAAGAGAGCAGAATACCTCAACAACAGCAAAATAAAAATTAATTAAGAGCAGAATAAATAGACAGACAGACACAAGGAGAAGAGGGGGACATAAGATAGAGCGGGGTGCATCTATAAACGCAATAACACCAGTGATTGCTCGCAGTTCCAAAAAAACCCACTGCCCTCCAGGATTTCAACACATAGTGAGCCTATAAGACAGGGTAGAATTGTCCCTATGGGTTTCTGAGACTGAAATTCTTCACAGGAGTAGAAAGCCTTGTCTCTCTGCTGGCAGAGAGAAGCTAAAATAGAGGAAGATCAAAATCTTCCCTCAGCCTCTCAGCTGACCTACACCAGTTCTGCCACGGGTGTTCAGCCTGCAAAAAGTTTGAGAAGACCCTAACCAGGCAACTCGTTCAGGAGAGAATCTTCTAAGGCAGTGGTGCTCAACCTTCCTAATGCCGTGACCCTTTAATACAGTTCCTCATGTTGTGGTGACCCACAACCATAAAATTATTTTTGTTGCTACTTCATCACTGTAATCTTGATACTGTTATGAATCATAATGTAAATATCTGATATGCAGGATGTATTTTCATTGTTACAAATTCGATGTAATTAAAGCATAGTGATTAATCACAAAACAATATGTAATTATGTATTATGAAATATTTGTTTCTAATGACAAATAAATAAAATGTTGTCTTGAAGCATGGTGTAGTATGGGTAACAGTCTTCACGCTGGGTACTTGTAAGTGGGCGTATGTGCATGTGGGCAGAACCTCCTGGAGACAGAGGAGCGGTGCCTCAGTTCCTAAGACCATTGGAAACAATATGTTTTCTGATGGTCTTAGCTGACTCCTGTGAAAGGGTCATTCGACTCCCAAAGAGGCCGCAACCCACAGGTTGAGAACCACTCTTCTAAGGAAGGGATAGGTGTTCTTTGGCTGTATTGCCCACTTTGGCTTCTTCAGAGTTCTTGGCCATACCAACAGTTCTGAACACCATTTTTTTTTTTTTTTTGCATTTCTTTTTGCATTCTGGGCTTCCCTGAGTTTCTTCTGCATGTCTATCTATATGTATCCCATGACCCGACCCCAGTGATGGACACACCCTTCAGTGCTCTCACTTCTGCATTCAAGCCTGCTACTTCACTTAAACTTGGCGTTGCCATTTGATTTGGGTATGAAATTCTGGCTGTCTTCCCACCATGCACTGTATGGCTATCTCCACCCTCGAGTCCCAGAGGGAGGAAGGACAAGAGAGGACCTGGAGGGTGGGGGGGTTCAAGAAGGAAGAGGCAGAGAAAGTGACAGGGAGGAACCAGAAAAGGAGGGAAGGTGTAAAAGGAGGATGTAGATCCAAACTTGGAAAAACTGGCAAATTTCCATTTTGGAAACCATGGCTGACAGTTGGAGAGAAAGCAAAAGAAATATCTAAACAGACTAAACAAGTAGAGCCCACAGCTGCAAATGGAGGGAAAAGATCACAATTTTGTTATTGTGGCATTTTTAAAGATATATTCAGTTTTAACTTTATCCAGGTTTATATCTAAGTATGCTAAGAAGTCAGAAGGATTTTATGTCTAATGAAGGTTTGAGTATGGGTCAGAAAGATTAGTGTCCTCCAATTTGTAGAAGGCTGTGGAGGGCAACGGGACCCCAAAACCCATCTACAGAGGACCTCTGGTAGCTCCCACCTGATCATAGTCTAAGGACTCAGCCTTCCTGTCAGGTAGAGATTAGTGTAAAATGAATTATAGGGCATAAGCTACAGTATAATATGAAGCCTGGTCAGTTGACCTCCCTCTTGACTCATTTAAATGGCTTAAATATTTCTCACTTATTCCTCATCAGGGGTTTTCTCTCTCGTTTATTTTAATCTTGCCAGTGGCCTATTCTTCCTTCCTTTAAAAATGTTTTTTATTTTATTGTTTCTGATATGTTCCCAGTATATGAAGCACCAAAGGGGCAAGTGCATAGAGACAATAACTGATATAATAGCTTACCGGGATTGTTGGGGGGAAGTTGGGGGAATTGAGGAGCAAACAATGAATGCAGGAAGGGACAAGGTACCCTGGAACTGAGTGTAGTGATGTATAAATGCCTCTTTTTAAAAGCAACTTAACTGTGGAAGTGTATGACATAGTTTTTTTTATCAATAAAGCCATTGGGGGGAAAGAAAGACTAGTGTCCGGGAAGGGAGTATACAACCTGGTATAAAGCATTAGAAGGAAAGAGAGAAAAGCAACTATAACAATATCATAGATAGTACAGCTTGAGAGAAACATTAGAAAGTTCATCCAGCTCCCTTAAGAAATATTACTCATTCCATGTCTGTACATGAAGATCTATCTCATTAGTTTTAATGACTGCAGGGCATTTCCTTAACTTAAGCAATTCCCTATTGGTGGTTTATTTTGGTCTTATTCAATATTCTGTTGTTTCCACCAATGCTGTCATGCTGACTCCTGTATATGCATCTTTGTGCACCTGGACAAGTATATCCAGAGGGTAAATCCTCAGGTGTAGAACTACCTGGTCAAAGGGTAAAGATATATTAGATACCAAGAAAAAAATAAGTGGCAAAGAGAACATGTCTAGCATAGCCAGAGGGTGAGAATAGTGTTATCTGAACATCAGCATTGACCCCATAAGTCATGAAATATTGGGGCCACAGCATATGTTCTCACGAACAAGTTTTACTTGTAGCCTTTGCGCTAAGCAGAGGTGAATACCTGCCTACACAGAGGTTGTTACATTCATTTAGAGCAGTGGTTCTCAATCTCCCTAATGCCATGACCCTTTAATACAGTTCCTCATGTTGTGGTGACTCCCCAACCGTAAAATGATTTTTGTTGCTATTTCATAACTCATTTTACTACTGTTATGAATTGGGCAACCTTTGTGAAAGGGTCAGTTGACCCCCCAGAGGGGTCGTGACTCACAGTTTGAGAACCGCTAATTTACAGGTATGCCACATTAAATTGTACCTTACAAGGGAGCAGACTGTCCATCTGATAGAGGGGCTTGGTAAGCCTTTCTCTGGAGCTCAACTTCTCAATGGTCTCACCATCCATCAAGCAACAACTACTTGAGAGTTAATGATATTAACCAGTCTGAACATTGACAAGTTATCATATTGCCCATATCCATGGGGCTAGGGATACCTTTGTGATAACCAGACAAAACAACTCTTTGCCCAACTGGATTCAATATTTTAAATTCTCAGCACCCCTTAGCTTGCAAAGAGACAAAAAGAGGAATTAAAATGTATATGCCAATCACTTTGCATACACCATCTTTTTTCATCCCCAAAGCAACCCTTTGTAGTGGGTGTCATCATTCCTATTCTATTGATGAGAAAACAGAGTAACTTCCCCAAACTCAAGCACCTGGTAAATGGCAATGCCAAGATACCAGCTGTGATCTGCCTGCAATGTTATGTCCATCAAGGTGACGTGATGGGCTCCCGGGAACCCAATTGGTAAGAGTAAATGACTTGCTCCTTGAGAGACGGTGTCCAAGCCCATGTTGGGGGCTGTGTGTACCTTTGGGTCGTCTTTCACGCCCAGGAAGAGATCATCTTTCAGCCCCTTCTGGCAGTGCTCACACGTGCAGTCAAAGTAGTACTGCTTCTTCAGCTGCTTCTTGCGTTCCTCGCTGACATTGAGGAAGTCGATATAGGACACCGTCAACTCCTCTCCTTCCGAGATCTTTCCCAGGGCCCGGAGCTCAATTCTGCAGCAGAAGAAAACACAAATCAAGTCCACCGCTAGTGGGATTTGTGCCTTCCCGGGTTATAAGAAGAGGAGGCTCCAAGATAGCAACTTCACTAGCACTTTGAGCAAAGTCCCATCACTGCCCCAGCCCCCAAACACCTGGAAATAGGGCCTAAAGGATCATTTTCTGGATAATTCCATTTTACTCGTTATCACAGTCAAATCTACCTTATTCAATTAATCCTTACAAAATCAGTTTAAATAGATTCTTCATAAAAGGGGTGAATTGATCACAGCAGCATTCAGAACTTCCAAGCCTACAAATGTCCCTGTATCTTGAACTACAGATGGTCTCTAACAATAACTTAAACTGCCCCTGTGGGTTGATGAAACTGGAACTCTTTATGTGAGTTGCTAGCCCCTCTTTCTCTCCCAGAGCCTCTTTTGGTTTCTCACTGCTGACCTTGCGGTTGGCAGCCCAACACATAAATACTAAGGCAAAAACTCCAAACAAAAGAAGACCCAAGAGTTATTTTTGGTTAATTTGGGAGCCACTCTCTCAGAAGCATGTAACTAGTTTCCTACAGTCTTGATTCATTCTGTCTAACTTGAACTTTAAGCACTCTGTTAGTGTGACCTTCAGTCCAATGTTGTTGTTACCACGGAACCAACAGTATGGTAGCCTACGGTAGATGATGAGACACATGCTTAAACCAAAAGAACCGATTGCCATCAAGTCCGTTCTGACTCATGGTGCTGCTCTGTGATTCAGAGTGGACTAGCTCCACGAGCCATTGCTCCACAAGGCATTGCCATGGCTCTCTTCTAAGGTGCTTCTGTGTAGATTCAAACTATCAACCTTTCAGTTAGTCGTTGTGATAGTTAGGTTTATTGTGCCAACCAGGTCTCAATAGGAACATGTGAGCGGAGTTTAATCAGGCCGAAGATTGATCGGAGGGCAACTGAGATGAATGCTTTCCAAGGCTGACATCCCATCTCTCTTTCTCCCTGGTGATCAGACCAGCGTGCTACTGCTTGAGCTAGTTCTTTGCCTCAACTGTGTGCTGCACCACTTGTGGGCCAAGCCAACCCATGAAATCCGTTGCCTTGCCGTGCATCACTAGGGCTTGAAGTTCCTTTGAGACCTGCTTTGCCATGCTGCTGGTGGACTGTGTCACTGTGTGTACAGTGCTAGACTGGAGACCCATTGGGTCCTGCTTCCCTAAGTTCCAATGCTACTGGCTGTTGCTGCCCCAACCTGCTGTCTGCTGCCTGCAGGTCTACTCTGCCTGTCTTGCCTGAGGGAAGATTCTGCAGTCTGCTTCCTTGACCTTGGACCAGGAGCCTGCATGAGTTGAAGGGCCTTCAGTATATTAGCTGTTCCATGAAAGTGAGTTGAACTGAGCCCTCTGTACTGCTGTGTGAACTAATTAGCTGTTATATTCCTTCTCGCTATACACACACACACGTGTCCTGGTTTTGTTTTTCTAGAGAACCCTGCCTAACATAGTCCTCAAGTGCAAACCAGGAGCCCCTGAGTAGTGCAAACAGTTAAGCTCATAATCAAAGGTTGTCTCAGTTAACCTGCTGTGTGATTTACTTCTGTGTTTATTGGGAAACTTAACTTTCTGGATGAAGGCTGTTACGAAGAGCATATGACATTTCAATTCCCTTCCAACCAAGACCTCATCTTCCAGTTACCTACACACCACCCACATACCATGTGAATGTACTAAAGACAAAGCCCCTACTGTTACATCAAGTGAAGCCAAACGTGGATACCAGCCCTTAGGCTCCTCCACAATGCAATTTCCGCCCACAAGACTAGATCACTAAAGAAAATAAGTGGTGAGCCATGCAAGTTTGCACCCAAAGTGTGGTCTGTTGTCTTCCTATGATCCTGGGGTCTCATTGTCCAGTGAAGAGTCATCACCCAGATAATGCGTGATGGGATGCAGAGGTCTGGGGAGAGCAAGCATTTGCAGAGGGACACATGGTCATTTCAGTACCTCCGAGGAAGGCTGAAACAGACCCTGTTTGAGACAGGGTAGGATTTTAGTACCCAGAAGGTATCACTTCAAAGAACGTCCTCTCCACACGCTATAAGGTGATAGCTGAACAAGCAATAGCTAAATGATGGTGGCATGATGTCCTGTTTTCTGAGGTGGTCATTTATGGCTCAAAATTCCTCCCATAGAGTTGTTGCTTAATAGGTGAAGACTTTACCTTTGTGGTGATGTCTTAGTTATTTAGTGCTCCTATAACAGGAATACCACAAGAGGGTGGCATTAACAAACATAAATCATTTTCTCACAGTTTAGGAAGTTGATATCTGAATTGCGCGTGCCCGCTCTGGGACCAGTCTTTCCCTCGTCGTCAGCATTAGAGGAAGGTCCTTGTCCCTTCTGAACAGAAAGGCGATCTTCATGTGCGTGGCATCTTGCTGCATCTCTAGCTTTCTTGTTTAATCTCTTTTATATTTCTAAAGATATTAATTCAAAACATCCCCTATATTAACTCTGCCTCAGTGACATAACAAGGATAACTAATTCCTAAAGGAGATTATAACCACAGGCATAGAAATGAGAGGCCAAAACACATCTTTTAGGGTACACAATACAATCCGTATTCTTTCACCCTTTGTTTGCCACCAAATTCATGTCCTTGCTGCATATAAATGGAGAGAAAATGTTTTGAGAAATGATGTACAAATGCGCTTTACACAATTGATGTGTGTATGGATTGGGATAACAGTTGTATGAGCCCCTAATAAAATGTTAAAAAAAAAAAAGAACATATCCACTCCATCACATCAACCTAAAAGCTTTCAATCAACTCCTAGTCCAAAGTTTCATCTTCTGAATCACTTAAATCCAATATGGTAAAAGACTTTAGATGCATTCCATCCTGGGGTAAAATTCTATCTGCGAGCCTATGAAACTTAGAACGCAAGGTCTCTGTCTCCAACAGACAATGGGGGAAGATGCACAGGGTAGGAATCTCCATTACAAAGGGGAGAAATTAGAGGGAAAGGAGGGAAAACAGGCACCAAACAAGTCCAAACTCCAGCAAAACAATTTACATTAGCTCTCAAGCCTTGAAACGAATCTTCTCTTTTGGGGAAGCAGCAAGGCAACAGGCCTGCCTTCCAGACTCTGAGTGTTGGCCATGTTCTCTGGATTCTGGCCTCTCAGTTCTACGTTTCATTCAACTCCACCTTCCAGGCCCTCTGGGATGGCGGCTCTGCTAGCTCAGCTTCAGGCAGCCTCCTTCTTGTATATTTGAGTGGTACCCTCACCCACTCTTCCCAGCAGATCCCATTCTTCTGCCTCTTGGGCGTGGTAGCCCTACCCCTTCAACTTTGGCCATTGACCTCAAGCCATCTTCACCACAGCCCCACATTCCAGTTCAACATTGGTAGAGATCTGACTCTTGGAAACCTAGGAGGCTGTGGCTCATCATCTGAGACCCAGGCTGTGGCTCATCATCTGAGATCTAGGAGTCTGTTGCTCCATCCTCTAACGTTGAGAAGGTCCTGCTTCCTGTGCTCCTTCGAACTGTTCTGATCTCTGAGCAGCCCCAGGGACAGTTCTTTTCTTTTCTTGGAGGACCGCAGACTGAGCACCTGTGGCCTATTTCCTGGCTGAGAGTTTCAAGAGGAAAACCGTCTTCTTGTCTTTGACCCTGTAGTCTATGCTATAACGCTTCCTGCTGTTGGTTAGATCCATCGGTCACTAGCTGCAGCTCCTTAACAAAAGGTTATGTAGCTATGCCATTGGTGATCATTCGAGGACACGTGTCCTTAGTTTGTAACACAACTTTCCAAGCCCGTAGGTTCTGTTTTCATTTTGCACAGTTCATGTTTAAGTTCACCTCTTTCCTCTTGCATTTTACTGTAAATACCAAAGACAAGCCATGTGACTCTTTTAAGAGCTCGCTTAGAAATCCCCTCAGCCAGATATCCGAATTCATCAGTATGAGCACTACCTTCCACCAAATATTTGAACATAATTCAGACAAGTTCTTTGCCACCGCATGAAAAACATCACCTTTCTTCACCTTATTTATGATTTTCAATTAAAGCTTCACTAGAAACACAATTAACCTCCACATTTCTAGCAATATTCTATTCCTGGTGCCGTATGCATTCTCTCCGATAATGGAGACTTTCTCTATAGCTCTCCTCACTTCCCTCTGAGCCCTCATCAGAATTGCCCTTGACATCCATAATTCTACCAATAGTCTCTTCAAGGCAATGTAGGCTTTTACGATGAGGCACCTCGTTGCTGCATTCCAGAATGGCCTCAACATTTTAAATATTGGTCAGATTCCTGGTATCAAGTTCTTTCTTAGTTATCTAGAGCTTGTTGTTGCCATTAGGTGCCATTGAGTCAGTTCCAACCCAGGGTGACCCTGTGCACGACAGAACGAAACAATCCTTGGTCCTGTGCCATCTTCACAATTGTTGCTTTGTTTGAGCCCATTGCTGCAGACACTGTGTCAGTCCATCCCATTGAGCACCTTCCTTTCTTTTGCTGCACCCCTGCTTTACATAGCACAACCATCACCTTCTGTCATGGAAGACTTGGGTAGCTATGATGCTGAACAATTTCAGCAGAGTTTCCAGACTAAAACAGGCTAGGGGGAAAGGCTTAAGATCTACTGCTGAAAAATCAGCCAAAGAAAACCCTATGGCTTACAACAGTCTTCTACTCTTATGCACGGGGTCATCATGAGTTGGCTTGAAAGTCACTAACAACATATCTAACGCAAGAAAACTCATTACCATCAAGTCAATGCCAAATCATAGCCACCCTATAGGACAGGGTAGAACGCCCCCATTGAGTTTCTAAGACTGTAACCCTTAAGAGGAGTATAAAGCCTTGTTGTTCTCCCTTGGATAGACTGGTGATTTCAAACTGATGACCTTGCAGTTAGTAGCGCAATGAATTACTACTACTCCACTAAGGCTCCAGAGCATGTCTAGCTACAGGGAGCCAATCTGCTCATTTCACAAGCAAGAACACTGATACCCAGAGATGTGACAGTCCCACAGCACTTTAACAACAGAGACAAGTTTAGAATTCGAGTGCCATCCATAGCCTTATTTGATTGTTTTCAGTTGGCCTCCCAGGTACAAGCACAGGAAATGAGGTGTGTGCATCAAAACATTTAGTTTTGGGGGCTCTACAAATGTCCTAAAGAAGGAGCCCTAATGGTGCAGTGGCTTAGTACTTGGCAACTAAATAAAAGGTTGGCAGTTCAAACCCACCAACCACCCAACAGGAAAAAGATGTGGCAGTCTGCTTCTGTAAAGATTATAGCCTTGGAAACCTTGACACATACATTTCCTATTTTTAAACTATGCAGTAACCCTTGTTATGTTTGAATAACTGCCTCTTTCATCTATATATTCTATATGAGCACAGTAAAGTGATATGGGATGTCTATTCTTTGAAACACTATCCATAATTTGTTATGATTCACAGTTAAATGTCTTTCCATAGACAGTTCTACTCTGTCCCCCACAGTTAACTGACTCATTGGCAATGAGTAATGTTCTGAATAGTTCCAATAGTACCAAACCCTGGGCAGGTGTTGAATATGCATCGCTGATGTCTGGCTCTGATAGATAATCCTCCATCAGCCTCTTTGATGGCAGCGGCTCTCCAGAGTGACTTACCCTCAATCAGTGGTGACTCCAAGGCCAACTGGATTAGCTTAGCACAGCTTTGCTTCCCACCATGGTTAAATCAATCCTTGCCATGTCTCGGGGTATCTCAAATGATTTCAGGGATCTTAGAGCACTTTCAAACTAAATTAATTTAAGATCATTTAAATATGAAAACAGTGCGTATGTGTATGCCCTATCTTTCCTTCCTCAGAACTGGGGACCCGGAGATAAAAAGTGAGCACCACAGATGAGGCACTGAAGAGGAAGTCGTGAGATGAGGATTTTAGGTCTGGCCCTTCTTGCAACCAGCTTTGAATCGTGGAGGAGGTCTTAGATCCCTTTCCTGTCCTTTGTTGTTGTGTGCTATCTAGTGTACTCTGACTCACAGCAGCCCTGGGAGTAGGATAGAGTAGAAGAATTGTCCCCATAGGGTTTTCGAGTCTAAAATCTTTAGGAAACAGAATGGTACTTCTTTCTCCCTTAGGGCAAGATTGTTGATCGTCAGTTCAAACCATCAATCTTTTGGTTAGAAGACAATGCTTAACCAGTGTACCACTAGGACATCTTCTTCCAACTCTATCTGCATGCCAATCTACAGTTCATCTAAATGAGCTACAATCAAGCAACTAAATTAAGTTTTTCTTACAGAGTTTAAGAACAGATCAGCGTCACAGAGATTGAAGGCTAAGATGGTCCCTACATTTCATTCTGACCTACATTCTGCATATGTGATATGTAATAATTTCTATTGGAAAAGTTAGTGCCAGACTAATTCCAAGGAGTTAGAGATTGATGACGAGCCAAATTCTTCCAAGATACTACTTTGCTCCATTTCCCCGGACTCATCCCTTAAGTATATTCTCTCATGTCCCTGGGCTCTGTGATTCACTGCAAGGTTCCACAGAAACTTGAGAACCTTTGAGGAAATGCCTCACGTGGTGGTGGGTGCTGTTCAGTCCCAACCCTGAAGACCAGGCAGAGGCAAGCCAAATTCAGGGTCCAGAGACAGAAGCCAAAAATGTTCCAAATCCACCGCAGGTCTTCTTGTTTCTACCAAAGCTCAGTCAGAAAAATGGAGGCCACACTTTGTAAGCGAGGTGATGTGTGTAGAACTGCACAGTGGCACCATTACATATCCAAGGAAAACATAAGGGTGTGGCCTGGTTCACACCCAGTACTAAAAGTGGAGTCTTGAAGATGCCCTCAAGGAAACAACAGATGGGGCTAGGCCCCCATCCTCCACTTGTCAGGTCTCAATCACACCCCACTCCTTTCCATCAGCATCGTAGAGAATGCCCTCCTGCTGCATCAAGTCCAGAACCATCATCTAGCTGATAAGAAACCATGGCTCGAAGGGCCATATTAACTGACCATAACTCATGTGGAACCCAAGCCCAGGAATCAAAGCCATGATGTAAACCAACACAAATACAGATACGCCAACCACTCTTTCGTTTTTAATCCAAAAGCCATTTCATATGCTGTTGAGACCAACCCAAACTCACTACCATTCAGCCTCTGCTGATTCGCGGCGACCCTGTAGGGCAGGACGGAACAGCCTGTGAGCTTCTGAGACTGTAACTGTTTGTGGGAATAGAAAGCCCCATCTTTCTCCTGCTCTTAAGACCAGCCCGAGAACAAAATACAGTCTAAGGCCATTTTTTTTTTTCTAATAAGCAAGTCTAATATAAAATCTAACCTAAGCCATTAATTCAGAGTTGGCCCAAAGCAGGAAACAGAATTCAGCGAATAAACATTTATTTTTTAAAATCACCTGCTGGTGCTAGTTTCAGAACCCAGTCTGAGTAGAAGTCGGGGGTCCCATCGGCAGTGCTCATTTCACGGGAAGCGGGGTTGAGAGGATGCCGTGGGTTCGTGGCAAAGCGATGGGGTTAGAAGGGCCTGTCATGCTTCAGGATTAGAGGAAAGGGGAAAGTGAGGCCGGAAAGAGGGAGAAGAAAGGGAACTACGTAAGACAAGGCAGGACAGGTATTGGGGGGTGGGGGAGTTGAGGAACAAAAGGATTCACTTAGGTGGGTTAAAATGCACCAGTCAGACTTCAGCAGAATGTTACAGACAGACTGCATGCAGCCAAGGAGTGTTGGCAAGGCGTGGCCCCAGCACAGCAGGCAATAAGGGGGATGGGTCAGAGGAGAAGGGGCGCGTGAAAGGACTGACCCACCTCATCTGGGTGTGAAACATGGATTTCACTGCCTCATGACTGAAAGACAAAACAGACACCCAAACAGAAATTATTACTACTAGGTAATTCCGGGTGGCTAGCGAGAGTCCACAGCATTCTGGGGAAAACGAGCAAGCTTTGGCCATCAGCACAGTCTTGATCCCAGCACCTTCTAGCTGGGACTCATGTGACAGGATGTAGCCTGATAGAGCAGAGTGCTCTGGGTTTGAAACAAGGAGTTCTGGGTTCAGAGGTCCTCAGACGGAAACAAGTCACCTCCCTTCGCTGGGTCTTAGTGTTCTCATCTGTAAACTGGCACTGAGCCTGTCACGAGACTATGCATTTAAAAGCAGGTGCTGAAAATGTCTGGAATTTTACCAAGGAGCATCTTGAAGGAGTAAGTATTGCCACTTCTGATGGGGAAAGTTTGGGGTGTGTGTGGAGATTGACGATGTTAACAAGTAAGGGAATAAACGACCCCCAACCCCCGGTTCTCTTAGAGTCAATTCCAAGTCACAGAGACCCTCAGAGGGGTTGGCAGCAGGTTTTCAGGGTTCTGACCTTGCTGAATTATACTTCCAAGGCTTGCTTCCAAGGTGCCGTTGGGTGGGTTCAAACACAGCTTTTCAGTTAGTGGCCGAACACATAACCGTTTGTGCTACCCAGGGACTCCGGGTCACACAAGTAGTGGGTGAACACGTTTAGGGTTAGAATGGCCCCCTCACACCATCGCAGGATCCCTTCCTCTATAGCAGACAACTGGACCGTGTCTGCAAAGTCGCCTTCTTCTGCCCAACAGCCAAGCTCAGGGAGGATGCAGAGCCTCCGAATTCGTAAGTGCAAAGAAGCCAGAGCAGGCAGCACAGGTGACCTGAGGAACAGGTTCCAGGTGCCTGTGGTTATTAGTTGCAGTGGCAAACAAAGCCCCAGGCCACGAACACTTAGTGCAATGGCACCCACTAAAAGTTACCCTACAATGCGATTGAACTATTGAATTGTATGCTATGTGGATTATGGGCCAATAAAACTGTTGGAGTGGAGGGAGTCACCCTGCATTTGATCCTCTCTGCCAACCAGGATAAACTCAGACAAGCAGGCCCTGTTGGGGGAACGTGGAGAGACCCAAGCCAGTTAGTTAATCATCTTCTGAATCCAGCTTGGCTCGGACAGTTCCCTGTGGATGCACTGCCGCAACAATTTTCAAATTACCTTCAGCATAGTTTTATTTGCATGTGATATTAATGATATCACTAGAGAATATCAGAATTCTATTGAATCCCCTTTCTTTGGAATGGGCATAAATATGGATCTCTTCCAGACAGTTGACCCCACAGCTGTCTTCCAAATTTCTTGGCACAGATGAATGAAAACATCTCAATTGGTATTTCATCTATTCTGGGAGTTTATTTTCACCAATGCCTTCAGTGTAGCTTGAACTTGCTCCTTCAGTGCCATCAGTTCTTGATTACAGAATGCCTCCTGAAATGGTCAAACATCAAGCAATTCCTTCTGGTACAGTGACTCTATATTCCTTCTATTTTCTCCTAATATTTACTATATTGTTCTTTATTTTGCCCATTGAATTCTTCAATATTGCATCTTGAAGCTTGATTTTTTTTAAGTTCTTTTGGCTTGAGAAATGCCCAATGTGTTCTCACATGCCACGTTTCTAACTCCAGCCCTTTGTACATTTTTATACTTTACTCTGTGTTCTGAAAATTCCCCTTTGAATCTTCTGTCCGGCTCTTTTACTCCACCATTTCTTCCTTTTGCACTAGCTACTGTTCAAGAGCAAATTTCAGAACATCTTCTGATATCCATTTTGGTCTTCTCTTTCTCTTTAATAATCTTGTACTTTCCTTGTGTATGATGCTTTTGATACCAGTCCACAACTCAACTGGTTTCTCATTGTCAGTGCCGAATACGTCAGATCGATTCTAGGTTCAGATGTGATATAGTCAAGGTCCTGTTCGGGTGTTCACGGGCGTGCTTTCATTTTCTTCATCTTCAACTTGCTTCACAGCAGCCACTGATGACCTGTCCTGTAGTCATACCTGGCCTTATTCTGAGACCCATGACATCGAGCTTCTCCAGGGTCTCCTTCCATCAGGTAGTCAGTTTGATTCCTGTGTAATTTATCTGGTGAAGTTCATTTGTAGCATCATTGTTTATGTTATTTTAAAGGGCTATTTGCAATGATTAAGCCATTGGTCCCACAAAATTCTACCATGCGCTTATTGGTATAATTTCTAATTCCACGGCCAGGTTTTCCAACTACTGATCTTTCTTGGTTTCCAACTTTCACATTCCAATCACCAGTAATTAATAATGCATCTTGATTGTATATTTGGTCAATTTCAGACTGCAGAGCTTGGTTAAAATATTCGATTGCCTCATCTTTGGCATGAGTGGCTGGTGCATAACTTTGAATACTAGTCATATTCAGTGAGCTTCCCTATAGGCTTATAGCTAGAAACCTAGTCCCTGACTGCATTGTGCTTTGGGATACATATCGAAATATTCATTTTTATGGTGAACGTGATGCTGTTCCTGGCATCGTGTGCTGTGTGTCTGTCCAATTCAACATGTCCAACACCAGTCCCTCAGCTTATTAATGTCTAGGATACTGACCTTTATGAGTTTCATTTCTATTTTCAGACTTCTAAGAGTCCTAGATCCATACTTTGTGTATTCCACAATTTAATTAGTAACGGATGTTCTCTGCTGTTTCTTCTCACCTTGAGTCATACTGCCTCTGTAAATGAAAGTCCCAAAAGGACCCAGAGATCCCAAAGATCCACACACCTGAGTAAGGTTGACTTTACTTTGAGGAGATAGCTCTTCCCCCCGTTGCGTTTTGAGTGCCTTCCAACCTGGGGGGCTCATCAACCAGCAGTTTATCAAACAATATGCTGCTGCTATTCATAAAGTCTTAACTTGCCAGGGGTTTTTTTGTTTTAAGAAAAAGATCACCAGGCCCTCCTTCTAGCCTGTCTTAGTCTGGAAGCGCTGCTGAACTTGTCTACCATGAATGATCCTTCTGGTATCTGAAGTGCCAGTGGCACAGCCCCTAGCATCACAGCAACACACAAGCTACCATAACTCAATAGCCTGATGGGTGGCAAGCTGGCATGGAAGCCCTTGCTTTCAGAAATAGGAAGGAAGAGGGAATAACCCTTGCCACATTGGTGGTTAGCCTTGTTCTCAGGTGTAAGTCAGAAACTGTTTACTTTGACTTCCAGGAAATCTGGGGAGAAGCTTGCTCCTGGTCAATGGTTTAGAATCAATTTGCATCTGCCATGAAAGTGTATCTCTAAGAGCGAAAGAAATGATATGGCTTATGCCTTGCTTGCCCAAATCTCTCCAGCCTGAGCCATGGGCAGCCGGGACCACATTCCTTGTGCTGGTTTTTCTCCAAATGCACAGCCACGTTTCAGGATTTGCTCTTCTTCATCTTACTGGAGCCTTCAGAGATAGGGAGGCTGATTTACGAGGCCCACAGCACCCAGACTTCTTTGACCTCTGCCTTCTTGTTGGGGTGAGTGCGGTGGGAAGAGATCAGAAGGCAGTTGGAGAAAGAGGCTGGAGTTATTTACTCCCCTGGCTCCACCTTGCCTCCTCATGGATCTGGCAGTAGATGGCTCCTCTACAGGGATAAGTCCTTCTGAGTGGCTCCCATGATTCCTGTCTTCACCAGGTATAGGAATGGTGCTTCCTCTTAGCCCTGAGGTCCAGACGTGGTAATAATCTCCTGCTCTTGTTGGACACTCACCACTCCTGGTCAGTTCCTTAATCCCTGCCTACAATCTAAATTGTCTTCATTAAATTCTCTATTAAATGCCCTCCTGGTAAACCATTTTGAACTTGTGCGCCTTCGATTCCTCCCAGGATCTTGACCGATACATGCTCCTGCCAGGCTCCTTCTCATTCAGTGCTGTTCTGCAACAGCCTTTAGGGGAATAACCCCAGGCCTCATGTTTTAAAACAGTCAGAGGCTTGTCTAATACATCTAGGTAGTTTCAAAAGCATACAAAGACTCTGAAATGACCTGTGTGGAATATTTGATATCCTCATTACCTTTCCCCCAATCCACACTTATATTCTGAAGGGAGAGTCCTGGTTTGCTTTCTACTGAACCCCTTCTGGTTCAGACTCAACATTTTGTCTTTGGCTGAAGTGGAGAAAACACCATAAAGTCTCCCTACCCCCATCACACCACCCTGGGTAGAGCCATACTCACTTGCCATTGTTAAAGATGACGGTACAGTTGGGCCAACAGTCATGGTTCACCAAACCCAGGTTAGGGAAGATGCCCACCCCCACTGCCTGCAGGCCTCTCTGATCGCTGAGAGTGAAGCCGTTGCAATTGATCTTTCCAGGGGAAAAAGAACAGAGAAACTGTTACCAGATAGAAACTTAGGGTAAAACAACATGCTGGCTATTGAAAGGAATTTAAATTTTTTTTTTAAATAAAAAAGAAGCAGACCTCATCTTGCCCTGGAAATTATTAGAGAATCTGAACTCAAAAGCAAAATAATTCGCCTCTTAGTCTCTTTAAGATTCTAAATGACCCATGAGCTCAGCATGAGAAAGTCCCATATTTGTTAAAATGTCACACCATCTTGAAAGTTGTCCGTAGCCCCCACCCGCCCCAACCCCCCGCATCTGGCCTCCCATGATTGTTCCTCGCTATCTGTCTCAGGGTGTGCGCGTGCATGCGTGCGTGCGTGTGTGTGAGAGAAAGAGAGAGAGACTGCCTGCCTCTCCCTCCCCTGCTTCTTTTGCTTTCCCACCCTCAACTCTTTGAGCTGCTCATAAGATAAGTTCTTTTTCATTATTTTGTCTCTGGTGACTACTTTCACACTCCCTGATCCCAAGGTTTAAGTCTGATAAGGGCAATAACCGCCTCCACTGCTGTGGGGTCAACTCTAACTCCTAGCGAGCCTATAGGACAGACCAGAACTGCCCCACACGGTGTCCAAGACTGGAGATCTTTAGGGAAGCAGGCCTCTGTGTCTTTTTCCCCGCAGAGCAGGTGCGGGGTTCAAACTACCGACCTACTGGGATCCGTTGAGTGCTTGACCATGTGCATGACCAGGTTACTTTTGGTCAGGGCAGTATCTAACATTGACCCCTACAACGCAAGGCAAGCCAAGTTAGTTTTTACTTATGTGGTATTCTGTTGATTTTCGTTTTTTTAAGAATAAGTTTTTCTTCAATTGGTTCTTATGACATGGGCCTGCTTGTCTCAGAGAAGGTGCCTACATTTCTGTTGGTGGATAAACGGGGTGGGGCAGTCTGCCATTGGGAAAAATGCTCTACGTTAAGTACATTGACCCCCTAAGAGAGAATAATCCCGGAATTTTGTTTCTAACTGGGCATTTGGGGCCTATTTTTCATTCAACCCTTGGTGACCCAGGCCGTGTACTATAGACAGCCAGGACTTTAGACTCTGCCCCTTTGAGGTGCACAGCATCCTTCACAGACCACACGAGAAGGATCCGACTGGGAATTCACACTAATCGAGCTGGACTTTACCTTAAGCATACCTGTAGCCGATTGAAGGACTGGAAAAACTCCCTTGGGCTTAAGGCTGAAATGCCCGCTTGTGAGGAGAAGCAGATGGCTACTCTCCCAAGGCTGTGGATGTGGGAGTCATTGGACGTTGGTTCAAGACTCTTCCCTTTTCCATGGGTTTGTTTGTTTGTTTGTTTGTTTGTTTGTTTGTTCAAAAACTCTTGCTTTGAGGCTACCAATAAACGGCAACTCGAGATGCCACACTTTCACGACTTTTATACTCTCTGCCTTTTTGTGACATCTTTTAGTCCAGCAGGTACAGTTCTGCTTTGGGAATGAACACTATTGAAAAGTTTACCCTGTTCCTAATCATCATCATTCGTGTAAATAGTGTCCGGTCACCTAAATTGTACGGTCTTATACATGTATACTTTCCTGTTCTCAACAGTGTTTTAAATTCTATAGCACTGCCTAAATTAATGATAATATCAATCAAATTATTATATGCTCCATGGAGATGAATTATAATGTTCTCCAATAAAATAATAAAGACATCTCTAAAGTGAACCAGGGACATATATAAAGCAGAAATGTGTGAATAGGTTTTGAGCTCACAATCATAGCCCTAATCTAAGAGCAATTAGTCCTTATGACATGGCCCTACTCAATAGTTGCCCTCATGAGAGATCACAGAAGATATAGGTGCTGCAGCAAAGTGTGATGAAGAAAGCAGATGGTGCTCAGCTATCAAAAAGGATAGCGTCTGGGGTCTTAAAGACGTATCTTAAAATAACAGCCATCTAAGTGAGCCTTGGGCTAAGGCCACCTGGAAGCAGCATGCCAGCCTGTGTGATTCAAAGATTGTAAAGAATAAAATCCAAATCAAGAGGTGGGAACAATAGTAGAGGTTAAATTCTGCACATCTGACTTCACGGAAGGCTATGGATTCCAGTGAAAACCCAAAGCCCATTTTCAGGGTCCCCCATGTATATTAAGCCTCCCCTCTGATTCTGAACCAGGGATGGGAATGGTCTTGTGATCAGACAGCATGAACTGTAGAGTGGATCACTGCAGTTGTAGTTAGATTAAAATGTGACATCTTGTCATCTGATCTCCCTTTGGATCCAAATATATATATTTGTTCTAATTTCTAAGCTTTTCGGCTGAAATTTTGCTCTGTTTCGGTCTGTCAATGTTGGGTTTATTTTTGTTTTGATTTTGCACGTTTTTCTCTATATGAAATCCAGAATAGGTAAATCGATAGAGAGTAAATAGTTTCCTAGGGGCATGGCAGAGGAAGTGGGCAAGAAATGGGGAACTAAGAGCAATGAGTACAAGGAAGGGGGAATGTCCTAAAATTGATGGTGGTGATGATCATAAGGCTCTTTGAAATATGATTGGACTATTGAAAGGTATGATCGGTGAATTATATGACAACAAAACTGTTATGCAATAGAATGACCAGTGGAGAGAAAGAGACAGTGGTTGCTCTCTGTTTCCAATGTTGGGAGAGAGGGTTGGAATACACAGACTTCCCAAACCCATCACTCCGAGACAAAAAGAGTTTAAGTGTGGAATGCCAGCTGCTGACAAGGCGGGAGCCACCCCAAAGCAAGCAAGGCCAGCAAGACAAAGAATGAGGTCTTGCTGCCCCCTAGCTTGTCTTGGCACCCCCTCTCCACTCTGGCCGAGAAGTTTCTAGAAACGTCTCCTTCCTGCAAGCCTAGTCATCCTTCCTCCCCTCGTCTTCCCTGATGAGGAATTGTACTCTCCTGTCCCTGGGCTTGTTTTAATGGACTGAATTAGGGGCCTGTCCCTGGTCTCATAAATAGAAAGGGCAGTGGGTATTTCTGCTGCATCTGGTTAACAGAACAGAGGTGTCAGTGTCTCTGTCTGCAGGCCTAAGGGCATCCCTGGTGGCATAGAAGTCCCTGCCCAGGGCAGACGTGGGCTCCTGGTCCACCACCCCACGTGAGAGGAGGCACGGAAGCGAAGAGGGGGCCCTGGAGGAGGTGGGCTTAGCCAGGGTGTCATACCACTCCGAAGATGTGCGAGATGTACTGCATGCTGAACTGCTGGCTCTGAGGCGGCCAATACTCCAAGAAGGTGTCCACGTCCACCCGCAGGGCCTTCTGCTCCTCCTCCCCAAAATGCTCCACGTGGTTCTGCAAGTCGTCCACAGAGACCAGGCAGCCCTCCGTGAGCCCGGTGCCCTCTCTCTCCACCCGCCACATGATCCGGGCAGCCAGCCTGTGGAGAGGGGTGATGTTGCAGAGAGGGGTGATGCTGGGGAGAGGGCCACCACATTCCCTCACCCAGCAAGCACTGCCCAACGCCGAGCACCGAGCGCAGCCCAGCCACGGGTGCGGCCACAAGACCGAGTTGGAAACTGGACGTGCTCTTCTCTCGTGAAGCTTCTGGCTATAGAGAGGCCCAGCTAAACGAGCTCCGTTTTACCCACTGCCAAGTGCCACGCAGCAAATGAAAGAGGGTAACGGTCTGAAAACGAGTTGCCATCAAGCCACTTCTTGCACCAGGGAAAGCGATGTGTGTGGGAGCAGAATGGGGCGCTGTTGGATGGCCCGTGGCCACTGTTTCAGAAGCCTGGGCCAGGCCTTCCTGCCAGGGGCTCTGCTCTCTGCTGCCCACTCGTGCTGCAAAGGCGTCGAGTTCAGGGTGGTGGGGAGAAGGGTGGACTTGGTTTCCCCGTGGTCGAGCAACACTCGGGGAGATCTTTGTGTCAGCCTGGTGGGTTCCAAATGCTGACCTTGTAGTTCGCTGCCCAAAGTAACCCACTGCACACCAGAAGAGGGCGCTAGTTATTACAGATCCAATGCCTCTCAGATACAATGAGTGTCAGAGGGTCTCACGTGAGACGTCGGGGAACGTGGGGCTGGGAGCCTAGAATGCTCTGCAAGGTGGGATGGAAGGGATGCTGCTCAACTCTGACCCGTTTTGCCAAATTTGATTTTCTTTTCCAACAAAAGCCAGGAATCTGGCTTTTTAATTTTGTGGTATTTCCCAATGTTTAACATTAGAAGCTAAATTTTAAAAGAACATGAAACAGGGGAGCACCATTCAAGATGAGTCTAGAGGCAGCTCCAGCCCGTCAGGGACTGCTCAAGACTGAAGCAGTGACCACGCCCAGTCTCTCCCAGGCTCTTTCCTGACCTGCACTGGGCCCGCTACCTGACTTCCTCATGCCTGGGAATGTTCTCACTGCCATCATGCCAGCCTGACATCTGGGGATCAGAAGCACCCCTGGGGCCCTGCTCTGACCTGATGTTCTCATTGGGCACCTTCCCGTATCTCTTGAGGGCTGAGCACTCATTCTTGTGGTTCAGCCAGGCATCCTTCTGGCAGGTACGGTCACAGTAGTGGGCAAACTTGCACTGCCCACAGCGATGGAGCTTCTCCTGCCTCTTGAAGCAGGTGTGGCACACGACATTCACGAGGCTGCAAATGGAGGAAGAAGACACATGATTGGAGCTCAGGCCCATGGGCAGGGACCCAGGCTGGCCCTTAGGAGACCAGAATTCAACAACTGGCTCTTTGAAAGAGCATGTATCAGTCTGAGCTTCAAACCCCTCACTTTTCAAGATGAGAGGCATAGCCTTCCAAAGGTCCCTTCTAAATGTAACTCTTTCTTCAGTTGATTATTTTTAAGTGATCTTAGTGGGAGATTGTGATAGTTAAGGTTTATTTTGCCAACCTGGCGGATAAACACATGTGGGATTAATTGAAGAGTGGAGCGATAAATGACTCAGTGAGCCTCGCCTTTCTAGTTCTCTTGTCACTTGCTCTCTGATGGTCAGACTGGTGTGCAGCTGCCCTCTGCCTTAGTTGGCAAGGCACACTTCCTGAGAGACATCTCAGAGGAGAAGCCACATGGACTCACCCTGATGCAGCCCTGGGTGCTGGAGCAGCCACGTGGAGACCCCTGCCAGCATTGAGATGCTTACACCACCACTGAATTCAAAGACTTTCTACCTACTGGCCTGTGATCCTCCTGCATTCGCCATCACTGTGTGTGTTTTGTGAGTTTGAGGAGGACTTTGTAGACCGGTGTTGGACATATGGTCTAAATTGGACTTATGGGCTTGGACTTGATAGGGTTGGGATGCTTTCTGAATGTACCTTTACCCTTTATATAAAACCTTCTCGTATGCATATATGAGTTTCTGTGGATTTGTTTCTCTTCTACCCAGACTAACTCAGAGACACTATTGCCTTCTGCGCATATGCCTTTCCATTCAAATCGATAAGTACAAATGTATACCTACCATGTGCAAAGCACCGTGAATATCGCTAGCTACTGAGCACAAGTTATGAAGGAAACAGTTAAGTCCGCAGTATGATGAGCGCTGATGGGAAGTGCAGGGTCTTCCTGGAACGCATCCCAGGAAAGAGTTGAGCCCAGGAATGCCCCAAGACCTAAGGAATGGGGGTACACGCCTCACGATCCTCTTGTGAAGGTCATGGGTCATGGTGCCATGTTTGGGTTGTTCCTGTCGTGGCTTCCGTTGAGGTGGGACTCCACGCACTGCCGGGTCCCCTGCCATCCCCCAGGTCGTTGCAGACTGTGACCCATTAGGACTTTCATTTGCCAGTTTTCAAATGCAGATAGTTGGACTGCTCCACGCAGTCTGCCTCAGGCTGAAGTCTCCATGGAAGCCCGTTTAGCATGACAGAGACACCCAGCTCTCCCCTGACTAATGAGTGGTGGCCACACATGAGATTTACTGGCTGGAAGGAAACCGAAGTGCCCCAGATGGGAGGCAAGAGTTCTACCACTGAATCACCACGAATGGGCATTTTCAGTCACAGCCCCCCCTGTCCAACAATGAGAACATTGCTGAGATATGATGTCCCTTTGCCAAAAGAACCAAAAATAACACCTATTCAAAATACAGTATAGGGTGTGTGATAAGACACCAGGGGCAGGGCGTCTTAAATAGTTTCTACTCATGACTCTTTACAACCTAGAGATTGGCAACATGGCCAAATGCTTGGAGAAACACCTCGGATTCATCATGCATGTGATTTTGAACTAAGTTTTGGTCGTTGTGTGATCAGAAACCTCTTACTGTTGTCAGAGTTCTCACGACCCACACAGAGCTGAAACGAACAGCTTAAGAAGCTTCGCATCCTGGGTCACATTTCTGTGTGTTGTACAACTGCAAGAATGACAAGGCTACTGTCGCCATATGATGCCATTTCCCAGCTCCACGATGCTTTCCAAGGGGTGGGTGAGATTGTGTAGCCCCACCAGACAAAGCCATGCTTCTTGCCACCCAGTGTTCCCATTAAAAAGCTCCCTATCTTTCCTGACAAACCATCATGCAAACAGAAAAGCTACAATTTAAAAAGCCCATCTCCAAGTATAGCTTGAGCCCCAGGGCAAGTCGAATCTGGTGTGCTATACCATGTTTCTAAGCCTCAACTGCAAGCTCCTGTCACCTGAAGGCACAAACCCTCACCACGGAGGCACCGAAACGATGAAACCCAGTTCAGTGGTTGTGCGGGGAATTGCTGAGCTCCCAGGAGCAAGATAGGTAGGGAAACAGAGGCTGGAGTCAACCGCCTAGACGGGAATCTCAAAAGTATAAGAAAACACAGGACTTCAGAATCTTGCAGTCTTATTTCTTCAGGAATAACCTTCAACAGAACATCCAAGTGTAGAATTTTCTCTCTGGGGCAATCTGTTCTAATCCTGAATTATCTTATTTCCACAGTGAAGAATTCACTGATTCTATGAACGGTTGGTTAATAATGTTGGCCAGCCTTCATGATTGCCAGGTGCTTCCACGTATTGCACTTGAGCTTGCCTCCCTATAAAACATGCTCTCATTTGAGGAGCATTGGTAGTGCAAAGGGTCCATGTTCAGCTGCTAACCAGAAGGCTTTCTGCTCCCCTAAAGATTTATAATCTCAGAAACCCCACAGGGAAGCTCCTTTTCAATGAGTTGGGAGAGACTCAGTGGCAAGGAGGCTTGCACTCTATTTGGACCTTCGGGATGCTGGCCCAATGGAACAAGTTTTGTCACATCCCTTCTTTGAGCACTTAAAGATTCCTGACCTGCTTCTCCTTCTCTTCCATTCTCTGAGTTAAGGACCCCTTGTCAGGGATTGAATTGCTTCCCCTGCCTCCAAACTGTATGTCACCTTGTGGGGAATCATGATTCTCTGGCTTGGCAGTTATATAATGACATAATGTGGTAATTCTGTAATGAACCCATATGATTCAATCTGTTGTAAAATGACCAAGGGTGGGATGTAGCACACTTATTGCTGTCACAGACCTGTAAAGGGAGTTTTTCTGGGGTGTGGCCTGCAGCACCTACAATCTTACAAAAGGTAAAGAGAGAAGAAGCAAGCAGAGAAAGCGAGATATGTGATCACTAAGAAAGAAGAGCCAGGACCATAGTATGTCCTTTGGGCCCAGGGTTGCTGTGCTAGAAAGTTCCTAGATCCAAGAGAACATTGATGCTAAGACACATGTCACTTTCCAAGGAATGCTGGGCTCACAGATGTTGACAAGGCCCTTCTCCAGAGCCAGCAGAGGGAGAGAGCCTTCCCTTACAGCTGGATCCATGAATTCAGACTTCTCACCTTGCAGACTGTTAGAGAATACCTTTTTGTTTGTTAAATAGCATCCTCTTACGGTATTTCTTCTAGCATAGTATTGGACAGCTGAGACCCTCCCCTTTCCTTCAACAGTTCCTGATACAATCATGGTTTCCCTAACTCTCACACCATTCAGGTGGCCTCCCAATGTGTGGACAGCAGATCCTTGAAGTCACAGGAGATGGGTGTGTGCACACATCAGTCACTTGTCTGCCAGTTTGTCTGACTGCGGTGGCTTGTGTGTTGCTGTGATGCTGGAGGCTATAGCACTGATGTTTCAAATGGCAGCAGGGTGACCCACGGTGAACAGGTGATCACCATATCATTTTCCATATCACCATACTTATTCATTCTGTATGCCCACAATCAGAGAAGCTGGATTATTTGAAGAAGAATGTGGCATCAGGACTGGAGAAAGGTTTGTTAACATCTTGTGATATGCAGATGACACACACAGCCTGGCTTGCTGAAAGAGAAGAGGACTTGAAGCACTTGCTGATGAAGATCAAGGATTGCAGCCTTCAATGTGAAGTACAACTCATTGTAAAGAAAACAAAACTCCAATTGGACCAATAGGTAACATGATGACAAATGGAGAAAAGGCTCTAAGCTAGGCCCTGCACTTCCCCGAGTCCAACCGGTTTTCAAACCCCACTCCCACACACGCACACTGCTGTGTCCTTATCTGCTGTCAGTATGCTGCAGGTAATTATTAATAATCATAAAGTACTCAAGGCATTAATGGTGAGTGCTTGGTCATAAATGAGAGCCCTTCCCAGTGATCAGAATAATAAGGCCTTTCTCATTCACCTGCGTTCCCTTAGGCTTGTTAGTGAGAGAGGAGCAGAATTACAGCTAGCATACTTAAGATTGCACAAGAGCCTGTGGCCATTTCGACTGAAGGTCATTCCGCAGAAGGGACACACACAAACCCTGGTATTTCATGGAACCTCCAAACCCGGCAGGTGGAGAGCTATGACGCTCTCACCAATGTCTCAAGTCAGGATCACACTCTGGCAAACCATTGACGTTCATTAGCAGTGACTGGCTATTTCCGGGGAGGTTGGTGGTAGAATTCTCACCTTCTACACAGTAGATCAGTGCTCTGTCCTATTTTTGTTTTGGGGGGGGTTGTTTTGGTGTTTGTTTGTTTGTTTGCTTTTTCAGAAAGAAATACTTTATCCCTAGCACTGTTAGAATTGCCAATGCCTGGTACAGATAAGAGCTCCCAACATATGCAATCCAGGACAGATAAACCCCTCAGAAACAATAATGGGAGTAACGATACCATGAGGGAAGGGGGAAGCTGGGGAAAGAAGCGGGGAAAAGAGGGAACCGATCACAATGATCAATGTATAATCACACACACCCAGGGGGATGTCCACACAATGGGCAGTGTGAGCTATGAATATACCGTGTTTCCCCGAAAGTAAGACATCCCCCGAAAATAAGACCTACTTACAGTTTTGCCCCTCACTGAAATATAAGGCATCCCCCGAAAATAAGACCTCCTCAAACATAAGGCCTCCCCGATAATAAGCCCCCCAAAGCTACCTTAACTCTGGACTCTAGACCGTAGCGGTGGGTGCCGCCACGCAACTCACTGTTGGCCGCAGCACAGACAGAGCAGACAGGAAGTGCAAGTAAATGTACCATCGATTATGAGTAAATGTACCATAGATTGTTGTACATGGAAATAATGGTAGTAACATGAAATTCTTGATACTGTAGGATTCACAGTTTGTCTGGTTATGCTGGTTTGTGATGACAACTACTACCATACTGCATACAGGTAATAATTTTCCTTTTTTGTTGCTCAACAATAATGT